CATCAACGTTTGAAAATGTGACCAAAATAGTTCTACCATGAATCTAGATTTCAAGAAAATTACCTTGAACGTTCAAGGAATTCATGAAAACATAATTTGTATGTAATGAAGATTTTCGTACCATTCGGATTCTTGTGTTTCTTTTCCAAAGTTAACATTATATGGTTATTCGAGAAAAAATACTGTGAATGTAATTTGTCAAACGAAGAGAATTAATTTCCACTGATTACGAAATTCAAATCAGATATTGAGAATAAACGAAATTTGGTCTTATTTTGCCAGTAAAATGATTTAGTGGAAGGCATGCCTCAGAAGCATGGCCATTTGCTTCAAAGTACAAGAAGAATTCTTCTTCAAAAAATTTGAAAACCGTTTCAAAACATCAGTTTTCCACTTTGTGCTTGACCAATTATTTAAAAGAAATGCAATTTGTCTGTTGTCTATAAATAACAATAACATACATAATTTTGAAAAAGTTTTGCTTATAGCAACGTTCTCTTATAAGAGTTTACCTTAATTTATCATATATGGTGTTGTATAGCTGTAGTTGGTAATTGGAAGAGTTGTTGAAACATACGTGTGTAATTCTAACTTCATTCTATCGAGAAACCAGTATATAACAAAATTAATCAGATATTGAGGTTGATAAACCAAATTTGGCCTTTTTTCATTTAGATTTCAATCCGCAATAGAGTCTCATTTTGCCAGTAAAATGATTTGGATGGCATGCTTCAGAAGCGTGGCCATTTGCTTTAAAGTAGAAGATGAATTCTTCTTCAAAAATTCATAAAATCGTTTCAAAGCATAAGTTTTCTGCTTTGATGTATGATAGTTGTATAGCTATACTTAGTAGGAGACACATACGTGTGTAATTCAAATTATATTCTATTGAGAAGCCAATATATAATTATATAAGTCAGATAATGAGATTAATAAACAAAATCTGGTCCTGTTTTGCCAGTTAAATGATTTGGTGGAAATCATGCCCAGAAGCATGGCCATTTGCTTTGCAATATAAGAAGAATTCTTCAAAAAATTTGAAGAAGCGTGGCAATTTGCTTTAAAGTAGAAGATGAATTCTTCTTCAAAAATTCATAAAATCGTTTCAAAGCATAAGTTTTCTGCTTTGATGTATGATAGTTGTATAGCTATACTTAGTAGGAGACACATACGTGTGTAATTCAAATTATATTCTATTNATACCTAGATGTCGCTCTCTTCGTATGGCGCAATTCCCAATTAGCTTCTAGAGCAAATGCTGACGAATTAATTAGCAATTCTCAATTCAATCCAATGTTATATTATTGGTAAAACTTTTAATGAAAAACGGGTACTTAAGTAAACGTTTTTCATTAACTAAAGTTCATTCTTAGATATTTGACACAGCATGGAAATATGTTTTAGTAGTGACAGATGGCAAATCACTCTGCGACTTCGGTATAGCTGTCAATAAATGTTCTCGCTTACTCTTACAATTATAACGTTTGCTACTTGGACTCAATTGAAATATACTTGTATAATTCTAATTTCATTCTATTGAGAAACCAGTACATAAGAAAATTAATCAGATATTGAGGTTAATAAACGTTAGTAGAACAAGATATTTCAAAACCAGGCAGGATGATTGACGATGGGAAGGAATTGGATATTTTGGTAGACATCGAGGAAAATCCACATAAACCTACCCGACAACTTGCCGATTACGACATAAGTCAAAGTTTGATATTGCGTGTTTTTAAAAGTGAAAAGTATCACCCTTATAAAGTAAAATTGGTACATGAACTCAACGAAGACGATCCTGATCGCAGAACTGAGTTTTGTGAAATAATGGGAGCCAGATGTCTGCGTTTAAGAAAAATATATTGTTATCCGACGAGTCGAATTTTTTTTTTAAATGGAACCACCAACAGACAGAACTGTCGATATCGGAGCCCAGAAAATCCTCATTGGAAGCCAATATATAATAATATAATTCAGATACTGAGATTAATAAACAAAATTTGGTCTTGTTTTGCCAGTAAAATGTTTTGGTGGAAAGCAGGCCTCAGAAGCATGGCCATTTGCTTTGAAGTATAAGAAGAATTCTTCTTCAAAAATTTTGAAGAAGCGATGCTTTAAAGTAGAAGATGAATTCTTCTTTTAAAATTGTTTTAAAACATCAGTTTTCTGCTTTGCTGTATGATAGTTGTATAGCTATAGTAGGAAACACATAGGTGTGTAATTCAAATTTTATTCCATTGAGAAGCTAGTGTATAACAATATTAATCAGATATTGATATTATTAAACGAAATTTGGTCTTGTTTTACCAGTGAAATGATTTGAAAAGTATGCTTCAGAAGCGTGCTTCTTCAAAGCAAATGCTTTGAAGTATAAGAAGACATATTATCTTTTCAATACTTATTGAAAATCGGCATTGAAAAACATAAGTCGAGTATTTCAAGATGTTGCTCAAGACATAATTAGTTTTTGAAATGACTGTTAGTGAACAAAGTGAACATTTTGGCTAGAGAATAAACAAAAAAATGATTTTCTTATCGGAGTGAATCACCTAGTTATTAGATTCTAATCGAGTGAATACTCACTGGATTGGGTCCCTAAAATTCAAAAAAGTGAAAGCGATTCAAGTCTGGAAAGCCAGTAGGCCGTTGAAATCCCTGGAAGGGTCATGGAAAATAGACAGTGTGTGAGGAAACTACGACCAATAAATCTAATCGAAATACCTCGAATTAATATAATAAAAATGAAATGAAGACAGTTTGTGGAAACGCGAAGCTAAATCTCGCTGGCTCCGTCTCAAAAAGAAACTGAAATAAATGCTAATATCATCAGAAAAACCATTTGGCAGTCGTTTCAATAACGCCTTGAATAACATTCAAACTAGCAATTCATACGAAAGATGCGGAAAGTAACCTTGGGGGAGAGGGAATACCCAGATATAAATATCGACAATATTATATCGAGTCGTTATATTTCGAATGCATAATTTCTCGTTCCACAGAT